ACCTCATTTCGTGTCCTTTAATACTATTATATAATATGCCTTAAATATTTTAACGGAATTAGGCAGTGAAAAGGCCTTCTCTAGGCCTTCTGCACAGATGCGAGCCTAGCCTATATGGATTTTTAAGGACTTTTATTACAAAAACATCAGTACCTGTAAATCAGATTGTCTACACACATTCTCTGTTCTGAGGAGGAATCGCAATGAGAAATGTGTCAACAGCGCAGGGCCGAACATGCTGGTCCCTGGTCAAAAAGTCTGACAGCACACTCCACAGCAACACCTCCCCACAGCCCACCTCGTTCTGCGGGCCTCCGCCGCGCCACAGCCAGACAGGGCGGCGGGCTCCGGCGGTCGCTCCCCGCCCTCTCCCCCTCACCCAGAGGGGTTACCAGGCTCCCTTCCCCGCCTGAGGCAGCCGCTCTCGCTGGGTCCGCCCTGGACCTCTTCGTCTCCGGCAGTGCCGCCGCTCAACCGGTGGCAACCGCCCGCCGCGCTTCTCCCGCTGCTGACCCCCTTCCCGCTTTCTCCCTCAGCACCAACCCCCTTCCCGCCTATTCTCTCAGCACCAACCCCTTTCCCGCCTTTCTCCTTCAGAGCCTCGTATTGTGCCACTGGGCGCATATATATACGTAGGCCTGTGAGTGGAAGGGCTTAAAAAGGCGAAAAGCAGACTCAGACACCTGTGTGTGTAACAGCGTCGCGAACCTTGAGGGAGTTTGATGAACGCCGGGGCCTGGCAAAAAGCAAAGGGGCTGCCGGTCTCGGACGCTCAGACGGATGGCTGACTGCACCGCCCAGCCCCGGCCGCTGCCCGCTCTCAGGTAACGAGGGCAGGGATATCGTCACCCCAGGCGCAGTGTTTATTGGCAAGGATGGAATAGCTTTGCTCTACGTTTCTGCATCTTCGTGCTAAATCCTGTGAGGGCACAGTGTGCTTCACAGCCCCAGATGCAAAAGTGTTTTGATCACAGTGCACGGGGCGGGGGGGCAAATTCCCAACAAAATTCCTTTGAGATTTTAAGGGGTGTTAAAGACACTTGCCAGTAACGTGGCAGTTTGTCCGTGAGTTCGGTTTTTACCTGTCTGGCTAGTGATAGATTAAAAAATACAGCACCTTGAGAGAGAATAGTATTACAAGTATTCTCATAGTCTTTGGATAAGGGAAGCTGAATTACAGGTTTCTCAGTCTGAGGTAGGTTGCCTCAGCAACCTATGGTGTGATACCATAGATCTTGGACTGAGAAGCCTTCATCTCTTCTTCAGTTTAAGAAACAGTATTATTTCTTTGTGAGTTGCTTATTAGCCTTCCTTTCCATTTTACGGTTTCCTACTCTCAGCTGTGGTGATTGTGGAAAGTTGTGATATTTTTAAGTTTATTGAATGGTGGTTACTTGCAGCCCCTCAGTCACTTTGTTGATGAAGTATTCTGTAAAAGAAGGGTGTGAGTTATTATTACTATTCTTTTAACAGTTTAATTTTAACAACTGTTATATTTCTTCTAGATAAAGTACCGGTATCACTGCAAGCAAAACTGAAGGTGTATGAGCTTTTCCATTGCACTTCTACAGTTTCCTCCTAGGAAAATCCTCAGAGAAACTCTTCCAGAAACCTGGAAAAAATGGTGTTTGAGTACCATTGATACTGCTTGACTATTTCACTATGTTTGACACTTTTGTATATATACAACAGGTAGGTACTTCCAATGCACTCTATAAAAAACACAGATTAGCTCTAGCTATGTAACTAATTTATTTACAAATATATTTACAAGCAAAATTAAACATGTTTGCATACTGAGGGAAAACAAAATAACAAAGCTATGTATGGCATCAAACTGCAGCAAGGCAGTGACCCAGTATGTTTAAGAACAGGCGACCAGAGGGGTTTTTTTTTTTAAACTTTCAAAGGTGGAGAAAAATGTCTGTTAGCGACTCAAAATAACTGGAGGATTCTGTGGCAACTAGTAAAAGGGGTTGTATCTGTCTCTGCTACTTAAAGTAGAAGCAGCTCTTAAAGATTCTTATTTGAAGTTTACAGACTGATGTTTGACTTTAGGTCTTGGAAAGGAGATTACCTATCTACTTGTATTTTATCCTGTTGCTATTTAGAGTAAAACACAAAATAGCAGGGATCATAACAGAGGTTTTCTGCTTTCTCAGGTCAGTACATGAATTACTAGGGTGAAGAGCCATGCTTGTTATTATATTTTGGTTTTCGCCCAATTAACAATGAAAATCTTCTGCACCATGTAACATCTTCATCAGATGGAATGGAAAGATTGTATAACCAGAATAGCTTTATAGTTTGTGACATGAGGTTTTGAATGACTTGGGCTGACTAGTATTAAAAACTATTATTAAAGTTTCAGGAGACCAGTCTAACTATGCTCCATCAAATCTATCAGTAGTGAAAAGTAGTATCTCCATGGAGTTCTGTTCGTCAGTACTACAATAGGAATGGAGTGAGCATATCAGTCATAATATCCTTTATCTCGTTCATATGTTATTATTAATTTTTACATTTTACATGTAAATGCTAAATTATTACATCATTGCATAGTATTGCAAATGTTTATCTTTCAAAATATGTAATCGTTCCAAATTTTTAGTCCCTCTGGCATTTGCTTATAGTGATTTACTGCTGTCTACCATTTTTGTAAAGGAGCATATGCATTATTTTTGCAACAAAAATGTAAGGTCTTGATCAAAAATTAAGCAAGTTTGTAAAAGATTCAGCAAAGGCTAAAGGATATAAGCATTCCCTAAGTCTTAGTAGAATGACATTGGGAAAATGTCTTCATAGCTTACTACAGCTGTATAAAACCTTACCCTAATAAGTTTGCAAGTTATGACGAGTAACAGTTGACGTTAACACTTGAAGCCACTAGGAATAAATTGAACACAGATCTTCCACTTTCTGGGCAAATGTTTCTATCGTGCTGTGCAAAAAGTAATAGTCATACCTGATTTACACAAATCACCAGTGCAACTGTATTCATAAAAGCTCAGTTCCTTTAAAAATGGTCTCTGCAGGTGTCTCCAGGCAGATACATTTTCTTCCCAGAAGTGACAATTTAAACATATGCTTCCAAGAACCAGGATTTCATCCACCCCCTCCCTGTAGAAAGTGCTGAAGATAGCCTGAGGCAGTTTGTTGCTGTTTATATGCAGGCTATTTTTGGCTACCATTCCAAGGTGGCTAACTCTTATGCATTTAGTGGAGAGGCTGGTGCCTGACACAGGGCCTGGATTCCACTCCGTGGGGTGACTGCTTAAAAATTAGGCATACAGTGGTTAACTCTTATATGACCAGCTGCTTTTTTGTGTACAGTTTTTAGCCTGGAATTTTTAGAATGATGATTCTGTTCTTATGTGACACACTGAAATTACTGTAAAATGACATGAAATAAAATCCTTTTTATTAATTTAATTACAACATGGTAAGGATCCCATGTCATAAGAATGGGGTTTGTATACATTGTGAAGTAAGTAAGTGTTCCTAATCCAACAGTGAATCTGTTGAAGCTCTGATTAAGGGACAGTAATTGCCTGTATGAAGATGCAATGAAAGGTACTATATTAACCACTGAAATAAAATGTGTGATACCAGCACTTGGTAACACATAAAGATGGGCTGGGACCAACAGGGAGCTATGAGTCCCTTGTGCACTTCTGTCACAACTATGGGTCTGCTGCACTTCCATTGTTGCCAAGGAATAGACTTCAGTAAAAAATGCAAGGCAGGATCTAGAAGACCTTGAGCTAAGAACAAGTGTCAGCTCACAAAATGAATTCAAATCAGAGAGCAGATAAAATGGACACTGGCAAAAGGGATGGAGGTCTATAACACCTACTTGGAGCTACAATTTTTCCTGTCTACTCTAGAGAATTTGACTCCCAATAGGCTGTGATCTGGCAGAAACAATCCTACCCACACATTGCTTTTATTTCTGGAAATTATGTGATAAAGTCTGTAGATTAAACCAGCAGTCTTCATGTTTACTTCTCCCTTTCACTGAGTGTCGAAGGAAATGATGTGCCTGAAAAGGCACAAGCGTGCTCTTGGACAGAAAATTTTTCTTCCCTGAGACAAAACTCTCACAGGAGTTCTTAATGAGGTGAAAGTACTTCCTTAGCAAAGTCAGTAAGGGAGAGCTGATTGTGTTACTCATTACACTCTACAAGGCTATTGAAACCAGAAATGCATTTTGATTGTTTCAGTGTTAATACATGTGTCAGAGTTGTGGGGTCTTTTTAAAGACTCTTTAAACACGTTTCCAGGGATTTTGTGTGTCATTTCTGAGGGAGATATGTCTTTTTTGATGATAGGATTACTTCATTTGAGATGTGAAAATTCAGTAGGTAAATTTATTTATACAGTGTAGTATATGATTACAGATTAGTAATTATCTATTATTACAAAAAGATGTACCATTTCTGCTGGTAACTCTAAAAATGTTAAGGGTATTTTCCAACCTAAATGATTCTATGATTCTATGTTTTTTTTGTTTTCCTGGAAGATTTTATGGTACACAAGGAAGCTACTTTTAGTAGAAAAAGCCAATTATTTTATTTATTGTCATAAAAATAGTTACTTTTGTTAAAAAATTTAAAATCTGTTAAGACAAAATGCTGTAGAAAGAAATTATTTTTCAAGAATTAACTTTCGCACACTGTGTTTTCTATGACCTGTGGAGGTAGGCCCTTTAATAATGAGCAAAAATCACATCCTGAAATTCCAGAATAATATTTTAAACCAGCCTAAAATACTGTGTTAAATACAACAAATTGCTCATTTAAGTGATTAAGTTCTCTGAATTTCTGAGTAGTAAGTGCACAGAACTTTGTGCCACTTCCAGGCCTAACATTGCTTCTACTGGAATTCCAGATAGCGTCAGTCTGCTGAAACATGAGTTCAGTTACCAAATATAGATGAGTGGGGTAAGAATTACATAGTCACAGAGGACAGATGTAATGCACAGGCTACAGTCTTCTCAATGCTTACTGAGGACCAAGCAATCTTCAGTGAATAGCTGGAGCAACTTTAAGCCTACTTAGATAAAGAAGGAAAAAACCAACTTTACCTGCTGTTAATTATACTTGAGACTCTTCATATTGGCCTGTTCATTGTAAGGTCTGTTTTATATTTTCTGCTAATTTAATTTTTGTACTTTGGGCAGTTATTTTGCAGGATTTCAAAATTCAGAGGAAAAATATGTGCCTTTTGTTTTAAAAAAAAATCTTACTAGATACATTTCCTTCATATTATTCCTTTGAACAGATTGGCTTTGGGTCATATTTTTTTAAGTAATAATTTTTCATTGGACATGTTCCACAAAGTCAGGATGCTTATACTTTTCTTGAAATGAGTGCTTTGATTTTCTACGGTTTTCCGTATTTCATTATTTATCTCTTGAAAACCTTAATTTGATTAATTGTTCAAATGTTTTCTGAGATTATTGTAATCCAGTATATTTTGAACTTACTATTTACCATATTGTTCCTTAGAGCATCTACATTATTTTCTGAAGTATTTAAACAGTGTGATACTAAAATGTGTGTTTACCTGTGAGTAATTTTTAAATATATCGCAAATAGGACCCCATAATAGTTTATACTCAATAATGCTGGAAGTATAGCTAAGCACTCATTTGCATGCAACATTGTATTTTATGTTTGTGTCTTTAAATGATATAGTATATGGCTTTGCACGTTACCTAATGAGTAACGATGATGAAAACTGTTATAAATACATTGTAGTCTAACTTGGATAAGCTAGAAATAGCATTCAAAATTTCTAATTATGATCTTATATGCTACTTGATAGGGTTAGTGATACTTCACCTCCAGTTCACTGTGGTTACAAGTTGCTCTAAAAGAATAGTGGTTTTATGTATTACAGTGTGGCTGAAAAAAAGTCTTTATACTGGAAGCTTCCATTCAGCTGTCTAAAGCTAGACATATAAATCCATTTTTAGGCACCAGACCTTTCTCACCCAGAAGGCTTATCAGCATTAGAAATTGTCAATGACGAGCACACGTTTAAATTCATCGACTTTATCTAAATACCCAGCTACAGATTGATTTACCTAAATTTAGACATTGGGCTTTGAAAATTATGACATATGTAGCCATTATATTTTTCTAATGAGTGACAAAACAGCATGAAACTGAGTATGAGGAGGAGATACGCTAATTCATCACACATGCATTTTAATCATCGTGTCAGGTGGCTAGCAATAGGTGAAACTGTCCTCTGACCCATAACCCATTGAAACACCAGAGCAGCTTGGTGTTGGAAGTCAGAGAAGTTTATCTGAGTATGTAATGTATCGCTTTGAGACGTGAGCAAGTATGAACCAGTATGAATCAGATTTAACTAAAGATATTATTTGAAGCACAGATATTAGTTATTAAATAGTAAAGTAGCACCTTTGTTCATTTGAATACAAAGTTTTAAAAAATAACTAAGATTAAGGAGGCAGAAACTCTCCAGGTTTAACCCTTGGTTCCCTGGCATTCATCCAGTTTATGCCTTAACAGCTGAGCCTCTAGACCAACTGTTTGCTTGGCTTCTCAAATTCATTCTGTAAAGCTGCTCTGTGGTAGTCAGTTATACTGTATATACTTTTTTAGATTTTGTTGACAAGCGATTGGCATGGTTGCTAAATTTGTTGCCCTGTAAACACATACAAAAGGAAAGAAAGATGAAATCCCAGCAAAGAATAAGCCTATCACTGTATTCTATAAAAACATATATCAAATCCTAAAATGCTTTGGTTCTCTTATACTTCTCTTTTATGTGTTGAGTTGTAATCTGTTGGCAAGACAAGCAGGCATATCAAGAGATGCATATGCCAGGCCAAGAATTCCAGTAATCTATCAGTCAGTTAATGACTACATGCCGGGTAAGCCCTGGTGAAGTGACTAAAGGTAACTGGAGCTTGCACAAGCTGATGTAAAATATATCCGAGTGCATCTCATGACTGTCAAACCGCCTGTCTATCAGTGCAGAAATACCTTGGACCATTAAGAGAAAATATAGTATTTTTTAAAATCTTGGGCAGAATTAATCTTATAGAAATTATCATAACAAGAAGAGAATTTTCAAGGGTAATTAAAAACACCGATGTTCAACTCAATTAAATGCTTTGCAGAAGCAGCAATTATTTTTAAGATCAGATCACCCTTGATCTAATGACCAGCAGGACAAATTTCAGTAAGAAGAGTTTCAGGCTGATCCTTCCCTTGGGAAAAGAGCAGTTCCCTGATGTCTTTTTTTGCTGGCTTTACAGAGGCAGAGAACGCTCATTTATCCTCTCTAAGATCACATGGGACAACTGGAGGTGTATAGATGTTTCTGTACTTTGTGAAACTGGTACATTATACACTTATGTGGTGCAGAATGACACATAGGTTGTGAAATCTATTTCTTTAGTGTTTTACTTTTAGCATGTGGTAGTTTGATATTCCACTTATCAGTGTTGAGAAAAGCGCTACTAAATTGTACTGAAAGGCAAGAAGTTAAAAATGTTAACACAAGAAGTAAAAAAATATTAAACACATTATCAACATTAAACAATAACTTGGAATTTCTAATCCAAACATCCTTGTGTAGATTCTCATAATGGTTTCAACCAGACCAGTGTTTTCCTCTTGGAATTTGATAGTTTAGTGTCTGGAAGGCAGTGTATTGGAAAGAGAAGAGAAAATATATTCCCCAAATCACTGTAAGCCTAAAACCAGAAAAAGTGTAATAGCATTGATGTGAAATAACAATTCAGATGTAAAATAACAAATCACTCAGATTGGTCCAGTGGAATTAAGCTTGTGCTAGGCAATGTACAGACAAAGGATGTCTTCATAGTTCTGAAGGAAGAGGCATGAGAAAAGTGACTCCTAAGTGCTCTCATTTCCACCTAGACAATTTCCAGCCCTGGCCCATTCTAATAGAAACCAAGGTTTACCTCAAATATTTCATGCACCGTTGGGTTCTGCTGCTCTTCCAGTTTTCTGTCTAGCTTAAGGGAACCAGGGTATAACAAGGGGTTTTTTTTATTGACAAGTTTGGGGGTTTTTTGTTTGTTTTTTTGTTAAGGAATTGTATTTGTGTCTTCCAGGATGCAAGACAGAAGCTGTGGCCAGGCATTACCTCTTTCCTTAATGCTGAAGGAGGCTTACTGTGCAGAGAGAGGCACCAATAAGGGATATCCTGAAAATATGTCAGAAGCTTCATCCTACCGTGACTTTTTCTATGATTCCCTATCAGACATACAGAATGGGGAATTTTCAAATGAACTTTCTGCCTTCCTTACCCAGGAGGAGATATGTAAGAGCCTTGACATAGCTCGGGAAGCCATTGCCAATTCCATGAAGGAGGATCAGAATGCAGCACCAGACTTTACTCATTATTTCAACACCGCTCTTTCTAGCACTCCAGAAAATCCTTCTTCCAGGGATACCAAACTGCGTGAGCAAGATGCATTACAGAGGCCTCAAGCAAGTAGTCTGACTTCATCTGCTGCAAGTCACGTTCTCCCAGGGAATCAGAAAGAGCAATCCACCGCACCTCAGACAGCAAGTAGTTTTGTCACAGTTTCCAGGAGGCAAGCAAGCACCTCACCTTTGCTAACTGCTAGTCCCAGCTTTATTAGAAACCTGAAACATTTGGAGAAAGATGGTCCAGGTGTGCCTAAGACAAACCCAAAGTCTGAATCGGCATCCCAGGGAGAAGTTCCTTTCAGGAACAAGCTGTGTGACAAAGCTGCCACATTCATAGAGGAACTGTCATCTATATTTAGACAGGCAGCAAAGACAAGAGGCCGAAGTCCTGATGGGGACTCTTCTTCTCCAGACAGTGGATACCTGTCTCCTAAAAAGAAACAACCAGATGTAAGTACCTCAGTGAACCAGGAGTTTGACAAGCCACATCAAGAGACTGAGCCTGAAGCAAAATTACCTGGGATTCATCTGAATGGAGAACAATTTTCTGAAAGGGAGAGCTTCGCTCAGAGCAAAATGGTCCTTTGCCGTCCCTCCATCAACACGGAAGAGAATCAATCTTCACCACCTCAATTCACTCAGAAGCTCCGGAGCCAGGAAGTTGCTGAAGGAAACAAAGTATTGCTGGAATGCAGAGTTGCTGGCAACCCAGTCCCTGATGTCAGGTAAGTGCATGCCTTTCAACTAAGTCACTGGATAGCATCATCTTCTGATTGTGGAAGATACCTAAGGACAGGTATCACAGTGGACCTGCTTAGAGGTAGTCACATAAGAACAGTGCATCATGCAGTGGTTAGTAAGCACATGGAATAACAGATGCTGACCTCTTCAGTTTTCTTAGAGTGTTTCATTGTTTTCTGCTTGGGCCATGAAGTTCTACTTGATTCAAAAGCTACATGGCAAAATTAGAAACAGAATTGGCTCTAACAACATTCCGTGTGACTGTGACCTCATTAACCTAGGTGAAGGAATTCACAGTTTGCCCCTGAAGAGCATGTATCAGGCAGTCGATACAGTTTTTACTGTCAATTAATTAGAATGTCCCCAGGGCCCATACCAATGGGATTTGGGGTCCATACTATGAGATAACCTCAATCTAGCCAAATATCTTCTTGTGTAGGAAATTTCCAGAAGACATTAAGATGGTCCCCATTTCAAAATGTCTTTTGATACTTTGTAGTGAAATTTTTATGTGCATTTCCTTTTGTTCGATGACAAAACATAAAAGTAACTGCCGTGTAAGTTTGTTTTAGGTTCTTTATTAACGTGTGTTTATAACAGTTATAAAAGCCACATTTGCAGTATCAGTGAGGGCTGAATAACTCGTAATACTTTCCACTGTCTTCCTTTCCTTCTAAAGCTAATAGAAATTAAGGTCAACCAGCACTGCACAGACAGTGTTTGCCACTTCACAGGTCTGAGCCTTAATGCTAATATGATTGCTTAACGCACACAGAGGTAGATTATACCTCTAGTTTAATAGTTACTCACAATCTATTTTGGTTTCAAGTCAACTGAGCACATTTGATATTCTCAAAGGAAAATTTTGTCCAAAAAGTCATATTTGGACAGGATAGAATTTGTAGTTCCCCATTCAGGACTTCCTGTAAGGTTCTTTAGTTACATCTAAAGACTACATAATTCTTTTAAAGTTCTCAACATTTCCGTGAAGGAACTTAGCATGCTATCACTTTCCTGTAGTACTCATTGTGCTTTCAATTTCTTCATATCTTTTGCTGTGAAGTCTTTCAACACTTTGAAATTCCTAATATTTTGCGTTAAGTTACCCCTGATTGCTTGCACATAGTCACATGTACAGCTTGCAGCTATGCAAGCTTAGGAATTCACGTCCATCACTAAACAGTGTCTTCATACATACTATAATTGAACATCTCCTTTGAAATCAGTCTTTAACATATTTTTAAAATCTGTACCTTTTGGTACAGGTTTGCAGAGGGAACAGAGCTGTCAGTTTGAAGATTTTAGATCTTTGTCAACAAGATTAAAAAAGTACAGCTTTGAAAAGTCATGTTATGGCTGTATGTGCTTGTATATGCTTTCATTCCAAGGTGAAAAGTTACTTTGTAGAAAATATCTCCAAAGAGTCGTCTTTGTGACTCTTGAAGACTACGGCATTGCCTTTATCCTCCTCTGAGTCTTCAGTGAAAACGTATTCCAGACAAGCTGAATATTGAGACACTGGAATTTTTACAGGGTCAAAAGATCATTATAGAAACATCAAGTGTACTCGGTTGTTCTGGTATTCAAACTGGAAAAAGTTGTACCTCAACACATTGAGTACATTGCTTATGTACTCAAGCTTAGATTGTCCTACAAGCTGAAGCCAACTGATCTTCTAAACCAAGACAAGCTGTGGATCTAAGTATGCTAAACAAAGGAATTACATTATGGGCCTTGCCAACAGGTCAGGAAGCTTACTCCAAAAATATAATTGTAATGCCTAAACTGTAATGCCCATCAAGCAATATGACAGCCATGTCATGTCATTAATAGTTGTTTGGTATTTTATTGTTTTAAGTATCTGCTGGGAAAAAAGGACAAGAATCACAGTTAGGGGTGCAAAAGCATTTCAGTTGTTCATTCTGCTTCAGACTTCCATGAAGCAGGAAAGGGCAATTGTAGAAGTTGCACAATGATGACAGCCAGGGAATCCTCCTCTTGCGTTTCTTCTCCTAGATTCTTCCTTCCCTCTCACTAAGATACTGCAGCCTGCCAGTGGTACTGATGTGGACCCTAGGGCAACACAACCTGTTAACTTCTAGTAATTCTTTTGTTGTTGTTGTTGGGTTAGGTAATATGACAGCTGACGTACTGTTGTTACTGATGCTTTTGAGTTGTAAAATAGAGTAGCAGCAACAGACAGGGACCACACTTAAGGAAAAAAAAAATTACTATTAATTAATACTAAAGACCTCTTCATCTACTTTTACCCATCTGTAGGTTAGATATTTAACCTGACCAAGTCACCCTAGACTCCATCTACAGTCACTAGAGAAGCACACCTACCAAGGATCACCTGTTTGGTACGTTGACAAGGACTTAAGGCAAATCCTCCAGACCAAACACTTCATTATTAGCTTGTTATGATAGGTGAGGTGAATCCCACCCATTGCCCCATCTCTATGCCAATGGATTGCACAGGGAGAAAGAGTTGCTCTGCCTACTCATATCTACAGGTAATGCAACTAGAAGAAAAAAAAAAGAAACGGTCTTTCTTATAGGTGAGCATTCACCATGATACATATTGCCTCAAAGGAACCTAGTTTTCCTAGTATTTCAATTTTGAAACATCCATACTTCCATAAATTGAACAACAAACTTTCTTACAAAGGTTTTTGCTAAGAAAGTAAGAGACACAAAGTTTGTTTGTTTTTTTTTTTAATAGGGTACTCCTTATCAAGTCATTAATAAGACTATTAAGGTACTGAGAGTCAGTCTATAGACAATATGGTTTTACTAGAATGAAACACTGTTTGGTGCAAGTGGCCTTGGTGCAAGTACAGTTCTCTTCGGAACCAATTAGAAGTGGTTGATTTCTTTTATGAAATATGGCATAGACAGGTGAGTTTGACAGCAGCAATGAGGTTGCAGTGTTTTAATAGTAAAGATGCACTGTTGTAATGCTTCAGTATCTTGTTGCTCTTATTTTATCTGGCAGAACATCAGTCTTCAGTGATACGACTCCAGAACTGTACATAAATATCAACTGAACTAGCAAGTTGTGTACAAGCTATGGAGTGTTTTTGCTTAGGTCTTTTACATCATTGTTGTATTCATTTCAGAGGCTGCTAATATCAATATGTTTACAAGAAATCTAGAAAAAAGCTTTATGTTCTTTAAATTTTAATGTAAACTCTGCTTTTCTGAATATTTAACTCTTTCAGAGTCATTAAATGAGAAGGCAAATCTTAATCACTGAGCAGAATGAGTCATGAGAAACACTGCTGACATAATAGGTGATTACTTAAAAGTATACTTGATTTTAAAATCTCATCAGTATCAATTAATTTGTAACTTTTGGTTTATTTCCCTTTTTGAAACCCCTAATTATGCTATGTTAACGGTCTGCAGATACAACCATTGCTGAATCGCAGCAAATATGCTTCATGCCAACTTCTCAGTCTCTTGAAAAGCTCCTCGGTAGTCAATTTAATACACTTTCATAGTCCACCCTCGAATTGGTTTTATTTCATAATTATTAATTATTCTCCATCTGGCAACAGCACACGAATTTATGAATATACTTAAAGCAAGCATATTACTTACTAACAAAAAATTACTTTTCCAAAGTTCCTACTAAAAATACATTTCCCTTTTAGTCTCCATTTCATTGTGGATCTTCAAGAGAGGAAAAATACGGCAGCTGTACCTCAAAAACTATTCATTTTGGAAGTCAATGCAATTTAGCAGCGTGACCTTTCTGTAATGACGCTGACTCGGCTGAAGAGGTCACTCGCATACAGCACGGGCAGGGTTCTTGCAGGCTGGATTTGTCCCGAGGGCCGAGCCGCACAAGGGGGAAGCACAGAGCCCTGTAGCTATTGGGGAGCCCATAGAACAAAAGCCAAGACTCATTCAGTGGTTAAGAGACTCTGCTAACCGTGTTAAGGACACAGCAAATACTTGCGTGCTGTTTGGGTGACACTCCAAAGTCCTGTCTCTCAATCTGGGGGCAAGGAGGGGGTTCTTTCCTTGAGAAGGTAAGAAAGCATGCAGAAAAATTTGTAGTGGATTCTGGACTGTAATAACATTACTAGGAACTTCTAAACAGTTACATAATATCACCTATGCACATCACTTTCCCTCTTTCTGGAGCTGAAAGGGAGTATGGTATATCCTGAATATCCAGTAAACAGCTAGTATGCCGCAGTGGAAAAAGACAAGCCTATTTAAAACCACTGATGTATTGCACAGCAAGTGAAGAATGCTTGCTGTTTGTGCCACTTTCAGGAACATTTCTGTAAATTTGAGTTTTATATGGTTAAAAAAAAAAAAGCAAAACACCAGTGATACAATAGCAGTTGACCATTCTTTTATACTTTGGTAATGTAGTTTTCTAAAGCACTGTACTTAGACAACTGTTTCATTAGACTGAATTTCTGATTTGTAATACCTTTGAAAAAAATCTCTGGAGTATATTCATATGAATTGGAAAGATTTAAATACCTACTGTGTTCTGAATAAACTATCCAGAGGAAAAAAAGGTATAAAAGATATTAAATGTTTTGTGAAAACTGCTGAATAGGTAGAAGACAGAAATGGATATTAATGTTACTGCCAAAAGACGGGCTATAGAACAAGCTGAACAGTTATCTGGTCTGTGAGGCACAAGAGCCAGCCACTTAGCATGTGCCAAACTTGCTGAACAGGAGATGCAGATAGGGGCATGAGCAGGATTACCACAATCTGTACATTTGCACATAGCAAAAAGATCTGCAGAAATGACGCTTCAGTTGTTCTGATTCTTCCCAGAAAAGACAGTTTCAATAACAGAGCCACTGCAAATAATATTTTTGGAACTCTCTGTGGTAAGTGTGATAAAAGTAGACAGCAACTGGGACTTTCATTTTTTGCCTTATCTGGAAAGAAAATAACCAGAAGCCGTAGTTCCTAAAGTCATGATGAAATAACAATAGTTTAATGG